AATCTGCGCTGGTTTGAATGGGCCGCCTCCAGTTTCCCCTTTGTTTTGCTGCCTCCAGCTAGTGCTGTGACGTCGGCTGACCCTAGTTACCTGTGGCTGGCCTGGCCATGCGTCACTCAGAACACAACAGGCCAATCAGAAGAGAGGCTCATGAATATTAACTAGACAGACCAAAATCGACCTGTTCTCAGCAGAGCTCCTGAGAGAGGAGCGGTAAACATATATTGAGATGGTTTTTGGTACTTATACCGGAAATATATATTCTTAAGGACATCAAAACCTCAAATAAAACTCCAGAAAGGTGTACAATATGGGACCTTCAAGTAAAAAGATGCGTAGTTAATAGATTACACTAACATTAGGTTATTTGCCCATCGCCCATTATTGATCAACTACCATGGTCTATAAAGGTGCAAAATGCATGTACTTGAAACCTTTGCAGGTGTTTTGAGTTGATTAGCTGATTGGCATGTCACCATATTCTAATTTGTTGAGATGCACCTGTACTTGAGAATCGAGATATTTCATGATATAGGTAACATGTTATTTCAAATAAAAAAACATAAGTCTATATATCAGTTATACAGCGCTATTGTGGCTGCTGTGTGTCACATGACAAGCATAACGAGCTCCCCACCTCTTCACTCGTGCCCCCTTTAAAATAATGAGTGCATGACGCCCCTGTTGCACAGGTATTGTTTTTTGGTTGCTACGGTGTTCTAGGTGGTTTCTTGAGTATTATAAATGGTTGAAAAGTATTCTGGGTGGTTGCTTACTGGCCCAAGTCAAAAGAGTCTACCCAACAGACTTGGGTCTGTAAGCAAAAACCCAAAAAGTGTAGCTTGCTTTATCATGCTGGCCCTTTACACTAATTTAGCCCCCTTTCTCAGTTTTGCAGCCTGCTTTTTCCAAACACGTGGTCAAGAGTGGAATCCTCTGAAATCTCCCTGCGACTCTGAGAAGCTCCGTTTATTGTTTTTTGAGTGAGCATGAGGCTGTTGTTGTTGTTGTTTCTGAGAACTTTCCATTGGAACCGGCTGCTGAGTCAAAAGACAAAAAGAGTGTCGTGCAGCGGCAGACAGAGCAGAGAAACAGCACTTCACACGTACCTTGGTGAGCAAGGCACGGTCCTCTTTGATATGGCATTGTCGTACAGCGAGAGCAAACTGCTCCAAAGTCACTGCAGAAACATAATAAGAGCAATTATTAGCATAATAGTGAAATTAGAAGGAGGTGCTGCATTAAACATTTTTCCCCTGAGGTCCATGTTATTTGCATCAAAAAATGATAATTTTTCACCTTCTCCCTGACCCCTAAAATAAAATGGGACGCTTTGTCTTTAAGAAACACTCCTTTCACATTTGAAATGAGAAGCAGTGCTTTGATGTACCAAAGTCTGCTGCACCCCCGGGCAGATGTTTTCTATCTAGGCAATATTTATATCAGCTTGAAAGAGGAAAGACCAAAAACAATATAAAACAGAAACGCATTTATCATTCAAATCATCATATTTTGGATTCAGCTAGTGAAATAGCATTCTAGAGTAAGCAAACTACCAAAAATGTGATGAATATCTTTTAACTGAAGGGCAGGACTTTCCCAGCTAACAAAAATATGTTCTAAGAATGTTTCGGAATGTTCCAGATTTTAAAATGATTTAAAAGTTTCAATATTCCATTTGATCATTTTGCAAACATTCTGGGAATGTTACTTTTGAATGTTACATTCTGAAACAAGTAGTAACATTTAAAAAAAAAAGTTAGACAAACGTCCAACTGAAGTTTCACAATAAAATATACATAATTGTTTTGTGCTAACATTTTGAGAATATTATTAAAGTCCAGATTACTTTTAACAAATGGTCTATTAATGTTACCGGAAGAACGTTTGATCATAACTTTGAAAGAACCTTGCCAGTTCTGAGAACGTTCCATGTGCCGGGTTCAATCCTACAGGTGCATTATTGAGAGTAAATACTTATTCACCTGATCACTCATCATTCAATAACTGCACTTTTTGCATGTGTAAGGAAGTCTAGAGTTCTGAACGTTACAGTACATTTTCATAGCTCTTTAATCTCAAAAGATGTAGGAAAATGTAATTTCTCATGATTATGAGTGTTTTAAAATGGCTTTGTTTGCTAGAAAATCACATATTATGCAGATTGTATACCATGCTTTGAATGAACAACAGTGCTTGAATTTACAGACTTGGCTCTTTGCATCTCTTTACAGTGTGTGCCTGTGACTCTCTCTGTATGACTGATTTGTGAGGCACTGAACAATGTAATAAATATTCTGTGATCTGTGACCGCTACTATGTGTTACAATCATGCGTGTTAAGTCAGTATTAATATCATAAATGAAAGCCCAAACTGGAACACTCGTGCAAGGTGTGAATAAAAGCCCCTCGTCTCAATGTTATCAGCAGCATCTCAGAGAAAATTAGCGCATGATCTCGGGGTGTGTGTGTGTGTGTGTGTATAAGTGTGTGGGAGGAGGGTGAGAGAATGGAAATTTGCTATCAGGGGAGGAAAATATATCTTGACACACAAACCCATGCACACATGCACACACACACACTGAGCATGTGGAAATACTCTAGAACATCAGAGGCTGAGAATGCACAGCACCTTTCTGTTGCTTACTGAGTGTAAGAGTGAATCAGAAAGTCAAAGGGAAGTTGAACAGTGTCTTTAATGATCAAAGATGTGTGGTGAGTTTATAGTCTACACGGGCACATGAATCACTTACTCTAGACCTCACACAAACGCACATGTACTATTAATACATTGTGCTTGTTCACACATTTAAGTGTAAAATAATTCATCATTTAGGGATCAGTGGCAGCAACATCCTCACTACAAGAAAAGTATTTAAAGGGGTCATATGATGCTTTTTTAAAGATCATTATTTTGTGTATTTGGTGTAATCCCTGACATGGCTGCTTCAACATTAACTGTGGTTATTGAAACCACGCCTTCTTTCTTCGTCTTCTTTCTTTGCGTGCACATTTGGGCGCATTATGCAAATATTTCCACATAGTGAGGTAGATATGTGGGGGCGTGTTAGAACGAGCCGTTTTAGGGGGGCGTGGCAGAGTCTTAACTTTGATAAAGAATATCTCTTTGGTTTTGAGACTTTAGTCTTTGCAACTTCAGGGATCTTATCTATGCACAATCAGCTTGTAACACTCCAAAGAGAAAGGAAAACTTGAAATCGCATCATATGACCCCTTTAAATTAGTCTTTTGACTTATTTTCCTGAACAAATATTTCAAAACCCCTACATTTTACTTCAAAAACACAGCTTAAGATATTAAGACTCTACGATTAACAAGATTAAAAATTTGGCTTTGTTTGATTTTATTTGTTTATTATTTTTTAAATATAACAATAATAATTACATAATTACTGTATACTTTATTTCAATAATTGATTTTTTTTATTTATTAATCATTTATTTATTTTAAATATATTGTAATTATTTAATAGATGAATATAGTAAAATCACTAAACAGTAATTGTTGTTCAAATTGGCAACTTAAATGTAACTTTTAGTATTTTTAGGATATTAATTAAGAATAGCCACTCTGTCATCCTGAGTGTAATTACAAATTTAGTTTGAGGTTTTATTTGTCTGCAGTTGGTAAGATCATCTGGCAATTCCTGAGAACTAACTTCCCATTTCTAAGCCATTTTTGCAATGACCAGTCTTTTTGTGAAATACTTGTCTTGAAAAGTGTCACACTTTTTTGTGCTTTGCTATTTTAAGTAATTCAGTGACTTTCAGAGGTTTCTTTTTAAGAGTGGCTTCAGTGTCCAAATACTTTTTGGGGTTGTTGTGCATACGGCATCCCAGCATCCTACAGGGTGATCTTTTGGACCCCTTTGTTATAATGTTAAAGTCTTCTGTGAGAATGTGGATGTAAAAAGAGCATTTGCAGACATTCATGCAACACACGAACTATAAATAATGTACATAAACTTCCCCTTTCTCTCACCTCTGTGTATGTGTGCCATAGCCAAAGTGGTCACGTGATGTAAACAAGCGTTCCAGGCCATGAAAAACTCATCTTTGTTTTTCTCTACCTGTTCAAAGGAACAAATAGCATTGAAAACAATTTGTTCAAATTTACAGTCTCAGGAAAATGGAACAAAAATATTGATGAACCATGTTGCATCACGTTGATTTTTGTCAAATGGTCTCTAGAATGTAAATGTCCCGCCCCCAACATAACTACTGTGTATTTGGCAGAGTGAAAAAAGCATTTTTTTTTTCTGTGTATAACATATTTGGACACTGATATTTCCCTAATAAAGAGAAAAGCCCTGAAAATCATAATAAGTGATGTCTAACTTTGGAAACTATAGCTCTCGCCTAAAATATGAAACGGTCAAGCAACAGATTAATGGGCTACTTCAGATTTCACAAAAAGCTTATAGACGTAGTTATAATATAAATCAGACTCTGAAATTGCTGTTTTTGATGTCATTCACTTGTTTGGCAATGCACCCACACAGAGAAATTTTGGTCAGCTTTTTTTTTCTCATTTTGTAAGTTGACCTTTCTTTCTGTTTTAAAGATGTTTTCTTTGGATTGTTTCACTACTCAACAGAGAATATATGAAAATATAACAATTCATTTGTGTTTTCTGCTAGCTAAATGTCACATACATAAACAAAAATCTGGCTCTAAACCTTTCTTTTCTTTATTCAAAGTTGATCCATATGGAAACTATAGCTCTGTTCATCCTAAAACAGTGAAAACTGCATCTCTATATTCATCCTATGTGTCCTCTTAAGGTGTGAATGTATTTTTTAGTTAACCTGGCAACACATCCCTTATGAAAATTAACCATGGCTTAGTACAAAAACTGGAGACTCCGCAGTCTCCTCCCTGATGGCAGCAGACTAAAGAAGCTGTGTGTCGGGTAGGTGGGATCACCTGCAATGTATTTTTACTGCAATGTAAAAAAACATGCTTATTATTACTGTAGTTAAACCATACCTTTGTTACACTAGTCATAGTTTAACCATGGTATTTGTAGTAAAACTGTGGTTATACAAGAAAAAAAAAACATGGTTACACTTTTACTATAAAACCATGGTAACTTTTCTTAAGGGACTTGTATTTGTGTATATTTTCTTTTTTCTTTGTTTTGTTTTTATAACTGTACTGTCTTAATGGTTTGATGTTTTGTACGGTTTCATAAAAAAAAAAAATTACAAATCAGAAAAAAGATTTGCGGTACATCCGAGTCAACGAGACGGAGGGAAGTTTGCGAGTGAAGGGCATAAAAAATAGACTGGAACGCAGCCCAGGACTCGGTGCGCGGATCACGAATCGTTCAATTCGCGATACGCGCTCCGAAGTCCCGATCTGAATCAAATGATTCGCGATACATGCTCGGAAGATCCCAGCTGAATCAAAAATTTCACAAACCTGCGCTGAAATTCCGATCTGAATTAAATGACTCACGATCCGCGCTCCATAATGTCGATCTGAATAATGATTCGCGAACCATCATTTCAGGGGTGCGTTTTCCAAAAGTAACTATGGTCAGGGCCGTAGCTGGGGTTTGCGGGGCCCCAGTGCAGGTTGTACCAGTGGGCCATATTTGAAGCTGTTTAATTTGTATGTTCGTTCTGTTTATTTATTTGTGCTATTTACACAATGTTTAAAGGTGACATCATGAAAATCTGATTTTTTTCTGGTTTTAAGTGCCATAATCAGAATCAGAATAAGAATCAGAATCGGAAAGAGCTTTATTGCCAAGTATGCTTGCGCATACAAGGAATTTGTTTTAGTGTCACAAGCATCCAGTACACAGAGACAACAACAACGCACAGACAATAAAAATAAGATGAGAATAAAAATACACACATACAGTATGTAAATATAAATAGACAAAATTTGAAATTTAAAAAAAATAAATAAAATAAATAAAATCAATTGTATGTATAGTTGTGCTATAGATGATAAAATAGGAATAGAATATGGTTCGCAATAATCGGGTCCCCTGTGCATCTACCAACCCAGGAAACATGAAAAAGATTAACCCAGAAACTTTGCTTTGGTAAGCCTTTTTCTGTAAGCGTCTGAAAAAACGAGCGCATCAGATTTCGCTCCCTTTGTGACGTGGCAAAGGGATCTTATTATAATATCACCGCCCCTTTATCTGCACGTTTCCACTCACGGCGCCGCCATTCTTGTTTTCACAAGCGACAACGGTGTACCAGTTCTAGCGCCATGGCAAAAGTTCGAGCAAAGCATGCTAACTGTTCTATCGTTAGCTGCACAGATAAGCACAGAACACTATTAAGAGTCCCAACCTCAGAGGAGACAAGAGAGCAGTGGATTTATTTATTTACTGTATATTACGCTGCTGCCACACAGATCTAATATAAACATGCGATTTCTTTCCCAGCTGTTTACCTTCACAGACATAACAGACTGTTTTTGTAACTCATGTGTTTTTAACATAAACTTTTATGTATTTGACAGTTTAAGCACAATAAGACATGAAGAGAACTTAGTTTATTACTCACATGCCGTGTGACAGCCACTTTCTGTGCGCGTGCTTCGGATGTGTGCATTTAGAAAACACTATATCAGACGTTTAAACTAATATGGCTTTAAAACGCATGATTTTAGCACGATAGACATGATCATCAAAACCAAACAGATGTTTTTTTATCAGAGTATCTGACGTACGAGCTGTAAAGGCACAGCCCTATTCTGGAAAAGGGGGTGGGGAGCAGCAGCTCATTTGCATTTAAAGATACATGCACGAAAATGGCATGCTTCTGCTTCCTCTCAAAATAGGCATTTTTTAAAACGATATAATAATTGATCCGTAGAGTATTTTGAACTGAAACTTCACAGACACATTCTGGGGACACCTGAGACTTATATTACATATTGTAGAAAGGGGCATAATCGGTCACCTTCAAGTTTGTAGGTGTCCAGGTACAGAAACCAAATAATCAAATGTAAAATAGCACTGCATAGTCTTCACTGTAAAAATTAATTATACAGTCAAACTAAAATTTATTCCGACACCTTCAACATTTCTCACATTATCACAGTTTATTTGCTATAGTTTAGAAAATGGTAATAAGATGACAAGAACTCGGAATTAAACTGTGTCAGAACAAATTAATCTTGATAATGTCAGATAACTTTGATAGGTATGTAATGGATTACAATCAACCAAAAATTCAGACAACTGTTAGCATGACAATATTTACACAACTATCAATACTTTGTTGACCAATTACCAAGCAATGCTTAATTTTGTTCAGTCTGTGGTGTAAAAAGTTCGCATTAGCAATTAAAGAAAAAACAATTAAGCAAAACATGGTCAGGACAAAGTGTCTGAATAATTTTTGGTCCCAAATTTAGTTTACTTTATTTTGCTCCCACTAAAAAATATCAAAAATTATATCTGGTGTCCGAATAATTTTTGGTTTGACTGTGGATTACTTCTTGTTAAAACTACAAAGTAATTCAGTCAAGAGCAGTGAGTGATTTTCTTTCTTTCATTTTCTTGGATTAACAGCAGATAGTAAATTAGGCGCGGTCACTTTAACAGGCAATGCATCCATTATAATGATACACATGCGATTTCTTTCTCCATGTTTACTTTCACTTAAGACATAACCGACAGGATCCTCTCCAAGACGGGTATTTTGACATAATTTTGTGTGTAAATTTCGGTTGAATTGGGCTCTTTCACATCTTTTTCTGTTTGCATTTTTAAACTGCGATTTGTATTTGTTCGTTCAGGTGCAGGAGGATGCGAAGGAGGGCTCAGTTAGGTGTTGCTGTCCGTGAGACGCGGCTCTCTGCGTGTGCACCGAACACGGCGCGCGAGTACTCAGATGAGTTTTTCTGCGTCTGGTGTTTGAATGCTTTAAACTCTTATGAATGTTTAAATTGGCAAGGCTTAAAAACACGTGCAAATGATAAGCTTTCGTGACGATGTGCAGCAGTGGCCCGTCAACTGTCCTGAGCGTCTTTTTAGGCTGGCCTCAGCCAGTTGGTTGAGATCGCCGGGGGGCCCCCCCTCAGCCGTGGGCCCCTATAATCGTCACCACCTTTCACCCCACTAGCAACGGCCCTGAGTATGGTCACAAGTTCCGTCATTACCAATAGAGTTCAATAGGACTAACGACCATAGTTAGCTAACGATGCTTTTGGGAAACGCACCCCAGATCAAGACTTGGGCCCTGTCCCAAATGGCACCTCACGGTCTTCCTCTGAGTCAGCACTTTAATGCCGCTTTGACTGTTGGGTTGAAATCTGCTGCGAAGCTTGCCCCACTGCAGTCTCAACAGAGGGGGCGTTCGCGAGCACCCTTCTGAACGTAAAAATGACGAATGCCACACTTTACGGTCTTGTGGACTTAACGGACACGCGCACTCGGCGGCCATTGTAAGTCCAAAAGTGCACATGAAGTGTTCCAGTTGGGACAGGGCCTTGGGAGCAGGAACGCAAATCATTCAGTTTGCAAAATGATTCGCGAACCTGCTTCAAAGTTCCGATCTAAATCAAATGATTCGCAATATGTGCCCCAAAGTCCCGATCTGAATTAAATGATTCACTATACGCAAAGTTCTGATCTAAATCAAATCATTCGCGATCCGTTTGGAGCACTTCGAAACGCAATGGTTTAACTGATTCAGAGTTTCGAAAAGCTCCATTTCACCCATCACTAGACGTGCTTTTTAAAACCATTACAAGCAATGTCAAAATTCGAAAATGAAATGCTCTTTTGATCTGGGTTTTGCTAGTGAACTGCTTGAACTGAATGATCAAAGTCACGATTTTGAATCAATCGGAACGGTTCCAGCGTAAATGACTCACTCAATTGAATCGGTTTGTCTGTTCCTTCGCTTTTCACATCTTCAGCCATGTTTACACGACACTGTCAGTACTACTATTGGCTTAGCTCACTAAGTTTATGACATTAACTGAAGGAAAAAAAAGTATGTTTACAAATAAAATATAAAAATTTCCTTTCCAAGGATAACCTTTCAACACAACTACGATTCACACATCTACGAACATATTCAGGTATCCGGTTTACTGCTGTGCTAACTATAAAAAAAAAAAACTCTATTAATTTGACGAGCTGCATCTTAAAATACAGGTTAGATGGAAACATTGTGGATTATGATCGAGTTTGTAGCTTAATTCACTGTACTTTAAATAGTTTGACGACAGTTCAACTTCTGGTAACAGTTCATTAGGAAATCAATTGAAAGCATCCAGTCATCTCATACCACTGAAGTGAATGTTAAATTTATAAGTATATATTGTAATAGAGTGATCGTCAATGTAAAAAGAGCAAATGGGAGAATCAGATGAACACAAAACACAGCATAACAACATTAAAGAGGGTAAACTTTATCATTCAACTAAACTGTGCTCGTATGTTTTAAACACTTCGGCTACCTAAAGCGTGCAGTTTTCTAGCGTATTTACTTTAACTTCTCAGCTAATATCAATGGTATGTCCTATTTCAGATGCGACCAAAATTACAGCAATAGTGGTTACATACACATATATTTAATTGTTTGATCAAACTTATTGCTAGAGACAATTTAGTAGTCGTTGGATATTGGTAGGGACATGTCATAGCGTCCCTACTAAATTCTACGCACTTGGATCTTGGCAAATGTAAGCATAGTTTGAGACATTGCTGAGATCTCATGTTTTAAAAGTTATATAAATGTATTGTTCTTAAAGAAATGTTTATGGAATGTTCTTATAACTTTATTAATATTTGATATATGTTGAGAGAAACATTCTTGGAACATCCTTATAATGTTGTTTGTTCTTGAACAGTCTCATAATGCGGAGAAAACGTTCTTAGAACAGCATTCTCAGAACGTCCTTATGATGTCATTTCTACTTGAATGTTCTATGAAAAGTCTTTTGCAACCTTTAAATAACATTATAATCACAAGGAAACTGGATTTTAATGTTCTTAGAAATTTAAATCTAAAAAAAAAAGATTTTTTTTTTGTTCTATTGGGTACATAAAACGTTTTAAACTTTACCGCCAATAAATGTTCAATTAAAGCATTTCACAGCTATTCATACTTGCCATAGATCGCTCCCTTGCTCTGCTTTAAAATAAGCAGCAGTAAAACACACAGAGAGGAAACTTTTTTTGTTTCCAGTGATTTAGTGAGAGCAACTGACCTTATTGTAATGTCGACTTGCCAGGCTGCGCTGTAATACCCTTTCCCTGTAGCTCAACGCTTTCAGCAGGAACATTAGGTCTCCTACTTTGTCCACGCTGAAGCCAAGAAAGTTAGATAAACAAGAAAACAGCCAAAAGAAATATAGATTAACTCGGTCAAACAAAGAGATACTGTATAAAATCACTGAACCACTATCAGAATCACATCTAGACAAATAAAAGCTGATTTTTTTTTTTCAGTCTACAGTATGACGGAGGACTAAAGATCTCAGGTTTGGTTACTATGTTCTGAATAGCAGGCCGGAAAACAATTACACCTATCAAATTTTCCTCTAAGGCAGAATTGCTAAATTGGTGACCTAATTGTTAATGTAAACATAAGCAAGGGTAGATGGGTTTCTCAGGGCTCAACAGTTTGTGTGCAGCTTTTCTGGACTGTGGGGTTTTAGAGGCTGGAGAATAGAAGCTGGTCTTAAACAGTGAAGCCAACAGATTAACGCATCTCCGTGAATTTGGCACCCCATAAAAAAATGTTCACCAAAACTACGTTATCTATCTATCTATCCTCTTTCCTGGTTCTAAGGCTGTCTGACACTGAGCTGGTCCAGTTTCTAATTAGTCCCATCACCAAGTTGTTCCCCATCAGTTTGGTGTATTGGGTCAGCAGCTCTCATACCACCACCGGCAAAACAAGACAAAACGTAGCTGTACTTAAAGAGAGACACTTTCATGACTGTTTCTTAACGCACTTAAGTACACTTTTGAAAAGTGCACTTTGTAATGTCAATTTTTTTTTAAATACATTCTAAATCATTGCATTTTAATAATCTTTTGTTGTGCTTTAAAGTATATTATTTCCATAAGTGCTAACGTGTACTTCTTTTTCACAAGGGAAATGATTCATTATTAATGTACAGTAAATGTCTATTTTACATAGATTCACATCATTTAGAGAATTTTTTTTCATCCTTAGTGGCTTACAGTAGAGACTATTATTGACTGTAGAAGAAACTTTGCCTTAAGGGTCTTTGTTCGAGGACACAAAGCAGAGTCTTATCTCCGGTCTGCATTAGCAGCTTGTCTAGGCCACTCCACCCTGTCCTTAGTGTAAAGGTGTGATCCTAATGGTCAGAACTTCCCTTTAGTCATTAGCGTTCCTCAAGGGATCACACAATCAACGCAATATCACACTATAAACACCACAAACTAAACGAACGACTAAAGTTTTTTTTTAACCAACCGCTCCCAAAATGTCAGACTAGGAAAGTACACTTCTTCAATTCTTACTCTGAATACTGGTGTTCCACAGGGATATGTGTTGAGTCCCCTGCTATATGCACTCTTCACTCATGACTGTCTACCTGCCCATGTAACAAACACCATAGTAAAATTTGCAGATGACAGATAACAGTCATCGGCTTGACCACGAACAATGATGATTATGCACAAGTACAAAATCAGCCTGGTGCTCCAACAATAATCTCATCCTTTACACCAAGAAGACAAAAGAGATAGTGATTAATTTTAGGACCTGTCCTTATAAATGGAGTGGCTGTGGAGACAGTTGTCTGTTTTAAATTCTTGGGATTGAACATTACAGAGGATTTTTCTTGGACTACATACACCTCCATTGTCACTGGAAAAGCACATCAATGTGTTTATTTTCTGAGGAGATTAAAGAAACTAAGATTGCCTCAGAAACTTCTTGTGAACTTTAATTGATGTTCAATGAGTGCACTAACATATTGCATCACATCCTGGTACACGAGAGGAGCTCTGAAAACAAGCGCTCTGAAACAAGTTATCAAAATGGCACAAAATATACAGTTACCATCAGTTGAGGATTTTTATATGTACAGATGTCAGAGCAGAACCTCCAAAATTATTAGAGAGCCTACTCACCCTGCACACTACACCTCTTTGATCTCCTCCTTTCTGGTAGGAAATATGGAACAATTTACTGTCATACTACAAGACTGAAAAATAGTCTGAAAAAACTACATAGACAGACTACATAGAAATTTGTTAGAGAACTATTGAACACTTTCTGATTCAAGTTATCTGCAGGGATTTGAAAATCAAATGTAAGGCTTTTTAAAACCCACACATATAAAAATAATACTGTACGAGCGGGGTAAGGCGATGTAACATATTTAAACCATAAAACGGCTGTAAAAACATAATTTACAAAAACGTCTCTAGGTTACGTATGTAGCGTCTTTGAGATCTATCGTAACAAACTAGTCCTCGGACTGGATCTGAGATACTATCTGCTTGATAGTGAGCATCTTGAACCGAAACCGTTTGATAGCGCGGTTCAGAAGATGGAGATCTAAGATGGAGATCGGACGCAACCCCCCATCCTTCGGAACGATGAAGTAACGGCTGTAGAACCCAGACTCTCTCTCGAGAGGCGGAACACGTTCTATGGCCCCCTTCCTCAAGAGAGTATCTACTTCTTGTTCCATTACCAGAGCCTGCTC